GAGAGGCAGCTTGGTGTAGTGGTTAAAACAGTGGTCCCCCAACCTTTTTTGTACCACGGACCGGTACAAAATGATCCACGGACCGGTACCGGCATCAGCACGCACGACCAAGGCAAGGCGAGCCGAGCGAGCGGCCAGCCAGCCGTCCCCCGCTTCTCCCTGCCACCTTCAACTCCTCCTTTGTACCTTCTCGCCGTCGATGGGCTTTTCGGGCTCTTTCTTAATCTCCTCCTGAGTAACGCGAGACTCCACCGCCATCGGGACGGCTCTTCGTTCGAAGCCGCCCCCTCCCCTCTTCGACAAAACTAAGGCGCGAGGATTCCTTCAGCACCCAAACGCCGCTTTCCAACCGATGACAAGCTCACCCGGAAGCACTTTCTCAAGCGCCGTCGAAACAAGATGGCGGTGCCCAAGCAATATAGGCGGCCCGGTACAAAATGATCCACGGACCGATATCGGTCCGGGGCCCAGTGGTTGGGGACCCCTGGGTTAAATCACTGAGCTGGAAAGCGGGTCAAGATGGATCTGGTGGTCATGCTGGGGCAGGAACAAGATTCCTACGGGGGCAACTTTGATGCGGATCAGTCCTTTGTGGGAGAAATCAGTTCAAATCCCACCTTAGCCATGTAAGTCACCTGAGTGACTTTGGGCCAGTCCCTTTCTCTCAACCCAACCCACCCTAGAAGGTGGTGGTTACGGGGAAAATAAGTGGAGAAAGATGTATTGGATATGTTTGTAAAAATAGTAAAGATGGGATACAAATAAATAAATAAAATTTATTGGGTGGGGATTGTTGGAGAGGGAAAGTTTTATATCAGGTCATTGCAGATTTGACTGCCTCATTGTAAGGCTGGTTGCGAACTATGCCAAAAAACACAGCGGCTATGGCATTATATGACCACACTGTAGGCTGTGTATCTCACAGCTGCCTCTCCATCTGTCTTGTGCCCGTGGCACTTCCTTGCCATTTTTGGAAGTATTTCGGAGGGCGTTTTGTGGACTCTGTTCAAAAGCAGGAGGAACCTTCTACACCGTTGAGAACGTCTCTCTAACTCAACCAAGGCAGCCAAGCTAGGGACTGACGGGATCTTCCCAGTGGATCTCCAAGTAGCAGACTTCAGGAACGGGCAACGTTGGGTGACATCATGGAGAAGAAGCCCCCATGGTTTTGTACAGCCCTTCTCGTGACCTTCTGCATCTCCGGGATCTTGACTGAGAAGAGTAAGCTATGGGTGAAAAATGGGGGTCCCTTGGGAAGTTTTCATTCCGTAGCAGGACCTTCACCTTCCATGAATCTACCTTGAATCCACCGCAGGTTCTTGCAAGGTGTGTTTGAATAGCTCCGTGGGCAGCAAGTCCACCTTTTGATGGTCTTTCTCCCCTTTTTTCCTTAGTTTTGGAAGGAAAGGTCTTCGTGTTCCCCAAGGCTTCTACCAACTCCTACGTTCTCCTGAAGCCCAACTTACAACAAGGGCTGCGACACTTCACCCTCTCCCTCGAATTTTTCACCGATTTGACCCGCAGCTTTGTCCTCTTCTCGGCTGCTTCCCAGGATCACGACAACGAGATTCTCCTGATGCGACACCCTGAAGAATACCACACTTGTGTGGGAGGGGAGTGCGCCATTTTCACAATGCCCAAACTCACGGCCCGGTCTACCTTCAGTTGGGAATCGATTTGTACGACTTGGGATTCAGCTACCGGGATAGTTCAGCTTTGGTTGAATGGGCAGCGCCTGCCAAGGAAAGCAACAGCGAAGGGCTACGAGGTCAAGGTGGATCTGGTGGTCATGCTGGGGCAGGAACAAGATTCCTACGGGGGCACCTTTGATGCGGATCAGTCCTTCGTGGGAGAAATCGCGGAGGTCTACCTTTGGGACAACGTCCTGCCTGCCGAACAGATACGCAACATCCAGCAACATACCACGCCGGCCCCTTTAGTGGCCTGGACCTCGCTGAAGTTTGAAATCCAAGG